CTCTGTCTTTTCCTCTCGCTTCAACTCTAAAAATCAATAGAATAGCCCTAACCAGTTTGGATCAGTGGATAGATCATTGGCCTGAGGACTGAAGGGTCCCAGGTTCTATTCCGTTCAAGGGCATGTACCTTGGTTGCGGGCACATACTCAGGTGGAGGTGTGCACGAGTACTGTATGTGATTGATGTTTCTCTCTCATGGATGTTTCTAGCTCTCTATCCCTCTCCCTTCCTTTCTGTAAAAAAAAATCAATATAATTTTTTTTTTAAAGAACCAGTAATACATATTGGGAACTGAGCACATGCATGCATAAATAAATAAATAAATAAATAGATAAATAAATAAATATCAATGGGTAAATATCCTCAGGTAAGTATTTTAAAAAAGAAAATTAAAAAAAAAACTATGTATGGAAACCTTGATTTCACAGAAAAGTTTTCTATATGTATTACAGTAATTTTAAATTTATACTGAAGAGGTATAGAGAATGTGTGTATTCACAGTCACCAGGAGTAAACAAATGCACACAGCAGGGATGTGGCTTAGCACCTGTGGGAACATCAGCCAGCCCAACCAATAACAGCTCAGGAAGGGGTGTGATCATGTGCTAATCATTCCTGAACATTGTTTAGGATCCCTGGCTTTAAGTATGCTTATATAGTTGTAGACATCTAGTATTTATTTATGTCAGCAAAATGTCTAGTGTTTTTTTCCAACATATAGCCTGTTCACTAAAATGTTTTTAAAAATTCAGTAAATTAGTTTTAAAAAATAACAACCTGTTAATATAATTATAAGCAATTGTTTGTTAAAGCATTTCAAAATCAACAGGCTACAGCCATAACTAGTTTGGTTCAGTAGATGAAGCATAGGCCTATGGACTGAAGGGTCCCAGGTTTGATTCTGGACAAGGGAATATTTGTGGGTTGCTGGTCCAGTTTGAAGCAAGCAGAAGGAAGCCAATCCATGATTCTCATCATTAATGTTTCTGTCTCTCTCTCTCTCCCTCTCTGAAAATCAATAAAAATATTTAAAAACTAACAGGGTATTAACTTTCACATATGACATAGAGCCCAGAAGCCTAGTCTGTTAAATTCTAAGTCTATTAAATCAAGGTCCACAAAATCAAGGGTTCACTGTAAAGTGATCTCATTTTACACTTTAAAAAGTTTATGTATTTTACAAAATGGCAACTGTCACACACAAATAAACCTGATGTATGTGCTGAGTTGTGTAAGGGATCTTCCACTGCACCACTCCAGGGTCTCTGGATACAGAAGGTCCTTAGTGCTGGTTTAATTAAAAGCCTGCCCCTCAGTCAGCAGTTATGAAGATAAACAGATTTGGGCTCTTTAGTTTAAAATCTACCTAAGAGCTTAGTGGTCACAGTTCAATTCCTGGTCAGGATACATGCCCTGATTGTAGGATTGATCCCTAAAGTGAGGCATGCAGGAGGCCCTTATCAATGATTACCTATCATCTCTGATATTTGTATCCCTCCTCCATTCCTTTCCTCTCTGAAATCAATAAAAACATTTTTAAAAATCAGCATAAGGGACTTTGCTCATATCTGCAAAATCCTTTCATCATGGCTCTTAATTGGATTAAGTAAGCAAGAGAAGGTGTGGATAAGATTCAAGATGGCTGCCCCTCAGCCACATCATGTTCCTTCTGCTGGGCCAGCTTGGCAGTCAGAAAACATCCTTGATTAAATGCCATGATATTTAAGAAAAACAAATTCAGGTCCACGTTACCATGCTATGGAGTGAATGTCCTACATAGATTTTCATAAACTCAGTGAATTGTTTATTATAGTAATATACTCCTCTGATTGTATTGGTAATAAGTTGAGATTTTTACTTCTAAGATCACTCACAAATTGCGAACCTGACTGACAGAAGTGAGATTTTATTTTTAATTTAATATCATTCAGTATTGTGAGTTATGTAGCACTGGTTTGGCCTGTCATGTGCAATTATTTGTTTTAGAATATTAATACAACATATTCATTAAAAACACACAAAATATCATGGAATAAACCAGTAATTACAGAAAATTTTATATCTTCAGTTAATAATATGTGGCATATTTTATAAAATGATACCCCAGATTTCAGAACACTTAAGTTATTTTCTATTTGTTTATTTTAGCTACTGAAAATGCTATGGAATTCATATGCTTCTAGAATATCCTTGTTTGTGAAAAATTCTATTGGAAACATTGCAGGAGATGATGCTGTTGGATTAGATAATATGTGGATACAAGGTTTTGAAGTTACCACTGGGCTGTTCTGATACAGACTGAGATGGTCCTGCACTGGCTGGCTGACTGGGGCCTCTGAGAAAGTTTCCTAAACCACCCACTGAGTGAGAAGTGTGGTGAGGTGGACACAGCTCAGTCCCAAGGAAGGGGAGAGAGGGTTTACAGGGCTCCTGTAGCTCCCCAGGATCAGCAGCCAGAGTAGCTCCATATATAAGTCACCTACCATTCTTAAGGAAACAGTGTCCTTATAAAATAAGGACCATTGGGGTTGTAGCCAGAAGAGCTCAGCATGCAGGACAGCATTGCTGCAGTTAGCGATGGTGGAGGGAATAGATCCACAGCAGCATGGGAAAGGCAGGCACCAGGAGGAGAAAAAGGACCAAAACTCTTGGTGGTGGTGGTGGTGGTGGTGATGGTTGGCTTCAGAGGAGGACACACACCAGCTCTACCAGCAGCTCCACAGAGAAATGAAGCTCAGGTTCCTTTGCTGGGTTCTGCAGTGGGAAGAGCCAGCATCAAACAACTGGGCACCTGCAACTCCTGTCTCTGGGTGGCATGGGGCTATGGCTCCTGGCTGCAGAACCACCACAGGAAATTCTCCAGGGGTCAACCCGGGTTTGTGTCTCTTTCTTCTCAGCACTGTCACCTGCTACTGGGTGGTAGCTAAGGGTTTCATTGTCCTAGCCAGAGGTGGACCCGATTATTGAAAAAGGCCTCAAGTTACTGAGAGGCTGTCTGTGGGTGGGGACATCTATGATGGCTGAGTTTGGTGTTTATAGATAATACCTTTCAGTTAAAAACTGATACTGATTGGCACATTTTCATTATTTCTATTTTGCACAATAAAATTACTATTTTTAGAAATCTAATGAGACTAAAAGTACCATGGTACTTTTCCTAGATTACATTAGCATAAACACTTGATCAAAACATGAATTAAACACCACCAGTGATGAGAAAGTTGAAAGCTTTCAGTTTATAATGTTTATTTGTGTATGTTTTTATGAAAGCACAGTTTGTATATTATAAATTAAGCAATATAATAATCTTTAAGGAAAACGAAATATTTTTCAGTAATAAAAACCACTATTGTATATTAAAGTTAAAATATGATAAAAGCTTTTTATTTAAAACACCCATGTGTTTTTCACCTGCTAGCATTTCAAATGTGAGGGAAGAGCCACAGCATATATTTAATGAAAGGAGTAATGAATAATGATATTTAGTTAAGAAGGTAAAAAATCTTAGTTACCTTAGCACATAATGCAAAATACATTATATATAATTGATTTAATTAAAGGGGGTTCTCTAATGTTATATTTCAGAGGGCTCAGTGTTCCAATTATATAAATATAACCTTATTTTCAATTTGAGTATTCATACAACTAACAATTTTGGCAGAATGTTCCTATCTTGTTGAAGAAAAAATAGAATTTATATATATATATATATATTTTTAATGCAATAATTAAGACTAAATACTTGTTGAAGAGTTTAATCAACAGGTTAAACACAGCTGTAGAGAGGGTGAATTGGATGACAGGTGTAAGGAAATGACACAGGACTTCACAGATTAATAGAGGGAAAGCCAGGGAAGATATGGAGTTATGAAGATTATGATATAGTATTAAGTACTTCATACATAGACAGTATAGCGTATGAATAAATATATCTCTAGACGGAGATACTAGGGAAGATGAGGAGAGTACTGGTCTGATCATTCTGCTAATTTCCATCTAGTAGAGAGTACGAATAACACTGATGTATCACTGTGGTGAGAATTACAAAGGAATGCATAGCACAGGTCATTAAGTAATGTTGCTTCAAACTATGGATTATTAAAATGAGAGAAAAACACATAGAATATAGTTAGCTGAAGAAAAATTAGAAAATTGTTTCTAAATTGCCATTGGAATGCATGTGTGTGTATTTTACATTTTTGACACTTGTCTCTACAACTATGTCTGTTTGGGAAGAGAATGAATGATGCCTTCTCTCTTGCATTGAATTTTACCTTTCCAGACACCCTTGTCATCTCTAGTTATACTTCCTGACAGTTCACAAATAAAACAAATGCATCATGGATGATGATTTTCCTAAACTGAATCAAGCACAAACCAATACATATGTTTTGTAGGTTATCATATTTAATAATACAGTAAATAGGTATTCATGACATAAAAGGAAATTAGAAACAAAAACATGTAACATATTTGTCTTATTTGATAGTGACCAGGAAAATGCCTTCCATAGATATTGGAGTTCCCCAGAATATTGAAAAATTCCTAATGTATTTCTAATTGAAGTGACTGCAGCAAAAGATAGGCCTGAGACAGGGAGAGAAAGAGCAATGAGAGATTCTACATATAAGAGAACTTTGTGCTATATTTACAAAGGTCACACTTCCACCTTCATAATCCAGGAATACCCCTACTTGGCCAATAGGTTTGGGCACATATTGCAGTACAGGTGGGGAGGTGGTGAAGACACTGTGGTGCATGTCCGTTTTAGCACAGCCAAGAAGATAAAATGCCTTATGGAAATGTATATGCTTCTGTACCAACTCATCACAGCAGACTCCTACAGCCCAATTCCAAGTGTCTCCCACATCTATCTCCCAGTAATGTCTCCCAATGGTAAAAGTCTGAACACCCCAGTTAAGAAAACACTCATATTGTGAGGTGATACACAGTTCATCTAGAGGGCCACATCCAACATCCAGGCTTATCAAACTTCCATCTAGGAAGACATGACCGTGAGTTCTTGCATGCCGTAGGATAACAATCTCTGCAAAAAGAAAAAAAATAATCATGTGGACACATTGCAGATAAAAGTCCTGAGGCAAATTTGCTCTTTCAAGATGTTGCTTTATTATGAGGTCTCATTAACATGAGCTATGTTGGTTGTCACATTTAATAAAGGACCTATACATGTGTAGAACAAACAGATCCCTAACAGAAATTTGGACATTTTTTAAAAAATTCAAATGTGTAGAGTAAAATATAAGACTCATCTCACCCTGGGTAGTGTGACTCAGTGGTCAGAGTGTTGGCTCACCAACTTAGAATAAAAGGTTTGATTTAAGTCCAGGGCACATCCTGGATTGCAGGTTCCATCCCCTGCACCTGCATCTGCCTGGGTACATGGTGTCCCTCTCTCGCCCCTCCCTCCCTTCTACTGTCTTTAAAAATTAATGTAAAAAAAATATACTTAGCTCAGCCCATGTGACTCAGTGTTTGAGTCTTGACATATGAACTAGGAGGTCAAGGTTCCATTGCTGGTCAGGGCACATGTCTGGGTTCTGGGCTTGATTCCCAATAGGAGGCATGCAGGAGGCAGCTGATCAATAATTTTCTCTCATCACTGATGTTTCTATCTCACTATTCCTCTCCATGCCGCTCTTCAGTCAATTAAAAAAAAAATTGTGTATGTTTCCTTGGGTGAGGATTAAGAACAAAAAGACTCATGTCTCCAAGTTCACTTTTCATAGCAAATGGCCAATGCTAATATTCTTTGAATTGTTTTCCATTGTAAAAAATTAGAATCAGAGGAACATTTCTTCTAAATAATCACATCATCATTTTGGAAGGGATGTACTGATTTGGCATAAGTCGAACATTTTTTTAGATAAATTAATTAAAATCCAATTTATGTCCATTTTAATAGGGTGTTTGAAAAACCCCTCACCAGTCCCTCTGTCCTCTGTCCTGACTCTGGGCTATCAGCATTTTGAGATTTAACATGTAACTCTTCAGTTATGAGTAAATTGAATTTTGGTGTGTTTTTACTTTGTTGTTCATAAAAATAACTAGAGGCCTGGTATATGAAATTCATTCAGCCCAGCCTGCACATTCTCCACTTTGGGACCCCTCGAGGGATCAGGCCTAAATGGGCAGCCAGACATCCCTTTCATAATCCAGGACTGCTGGCTCCCAACCACTTGCCTGCCTGCCTGATCACCCCCTAACAACTCCCCTGCCAGTCTGATTGATGACTAACTGCTACTCTCTTGGCCTGATTGCCCCTAACTCACCTCCCTTGCTGGCTTGGTCACTAACTGCCCTCCCCTGCCTACCTGGTAGCCCCTAACTGTCCTTCCCTGCAGGCCTTCTTTCCCCCAACTGTCTTCCCCTTCTGATCTGGTCACCCATAACTACCCTCCCTTCCCAGCTTGGTTACCCCTAACTGCCTTCCCCTACAGGTCTGGTCCCCTCCAACTGACCTCCCTGCAAGCCTGGTCACCCCTAACTCCCCTCCTCTGCTAGCCATCTTGTGGTGGCCATCTGTGTCCACATGGGGGCAGCCAAGTTTGACCACACATGAGCGGCCATCATGTGTGTTGGAGTGATGGTCATTTTATATATTACCAGACCTTCCTGCAGGCCTGGTCCCCCCAAAATGTCCTCCCCTGCTGGTCTGATTGCCCACAACTGCCCTCCCCTGCCAGCCATATTAAGGTGGCCATCTTGTGTCCACATGGGGGTAGCCATCTTGTGTGTTGGAGTGATGGTCACTTTGCATATTACTCTTTTATTAGATAGGATTCTTCTGTTAACTCTTTTTTCAAATTTATTGTTTAATGTATTACAAATAGTCGTACATATATCTCCTTTTTGTTCCTCATTGACCTCCCCTACCCACCCTCATACTTGCCCTCACCCCCTTCCCCAGTAGCTTATGTCTACTAATTATGCTCATATGCATGTTTACAAGTCCTTCAGTTGATCTCTTACCCCCCTAACCCTTCCCTACCTTCCCCCTGTAGTTTGGCAATCTGTTCAATGCTTCTTTGCCTCTATCTATTTTTGTTCAACAGTTTATAATATTGTTTATATTACACATATGAGTGAGATCATGTGGTGTTTATCTTTCACTGACTGGCTTACTTCACTTAGCATAATGCTCTACAGTTTCTTCCATGCTGTTGCAAATGTTAAGTATTTCTTCTTTTGCTGAAACCACTTTGGCTCAGTGGATAGAGCATCAGCCTTCAGATTGAAAGGTCCTGAGTTCGATTCTGGTCAAGGTCATGTACCTTGGTTGTGGGCCCAAACCCAGTAGGGGGTGTGCAAGAGGCAGCTGCTCAATGACTCTCTCTCATCGATGTTTCTGACTCTGTCCCTCTCTCTTCCTTTCTGTAAAAAAATCAATAATATATACATATATATTTTAAATCCTTGTTTAAAAAAAAAAAAGAATTCCTTCTTTTTACAGCAGCGTACTGGATAGATACTTGCAAAAAATGAAACTAGACCACCAGCTTACACCATACACAAAAATAAACTCAAAATGGATAAAAAATTTGAGAAGTCACAGGCATCAAAATAGCAGACATTTGCCATAGCAATATCTTTATGGATACAGCTCCAAGGTAATGGAAACTAAAAAGAAAATAAACAATGTGACTACATCAAAATAATGTTTCTGCACAGCAAAAGAAATCATCAACAAAACAAGAAAGCCCACTGCATTGGAGAACACATTTTGCCAATGTTATCTCTGATAAGGGTTTAATCTCTAACATTTACAGGGAACTCATACAACTTAACAAAAGGAAGATAAGCAATCCAATCAAGAAAGGGCAAAGGACCTAAATAGACACTTTTCAAAAGAGGATATTCAGAAATCCAAAAGACATGCTCAAAGCCACTAATCACGTGAGAGATACAAATTAAAACATCAATGAGGTACCATGTCACACCTCTCAGAATGTCTACCATCAACAAGTCTTCTGTTAACTCTTACATATTAATTCAAATCTTTACATTATATGGCCATTGGAGGGAAAAATACAAGGAAACCAAATAAGATCCAGTATGCTATATGTCTACAAAAAAACTGTTGTAAACATTTGAAAATTATATATGAAGAATAAATGTAAGTCCATTAAAGCGCACCCTCCAACCAAGACATGAAGGGGAACCCAATATGGCGGCATAGGTAAACACACCTACACTGCAGTTGTGCACAACAATTTCAAAACTACAACTAAAAGACAAAATATCCATTAACCAGAGCCATGGGAAAGCTGGCTGAGTGAAAGTTCTACAACCATGCAAAAAGAGAGGGGAACATTCAGTGCAAAAAAGCTGAAAAATGGAGGTATGGGGGCGCACAACATGGGCTAGTGGTAGATCCCGGCTGGCGGCAGGCATTGCTTTCTTCAACCCGAAAGAGACACACGAGACCCGAACTTCTCCAGGGAGAAGCTAGACTGTCTGCCATCAGATCAGAAAGTGAGGGTGGCTGGTTTGCAGAGCTGCACAGAGGAATAATTGTTTCCTGTGCTGGACTCAGAGACACAGTCGGAGGTGCAGGACATCTCACTGCCAGCCATTGCTGTTTGCCACTCCCTAGCTTAATGATGCCCCGAGATTCTGCCCCACACAATCTACAAACACACCCAAGCTCCAAGCAGTGGCTTTTGCATATGAATGGCCTTCACTATTGCTAAGAACTTCCAAGCCAGTTCAGACAGCTCCATAATATACAAATCCCAAGCAGGGAGGAGAGGACTGTAGATCTTGCTGTAGTTCCTGCAGGGTGACCTCAGACAGTAGCTGTCCTGCACCCCATTGGAGATCCAGAAGCCAGTGTACCTAGTGGTCAGGGTAAGACACAGATTTCAATTCCTCACATCCATAATTGACACATTCAAGAGGCAGACTCAGTGAGCACCAAAGTCCCACTGAAACAAGTCCTGCACCATAAGCTTGTCTCCAGTGCAGCAGTTCTTCCATTATAAACACAGCGGGTCCCCACAGCCAATTGGCCTAGAGGACAATTCCTCCCAGAGTACCAATAGCAATCAAGGCTTAACTATACCAAGACTTTTCACTCAGCCCACAAAGGGGTGTTCCAAGACTGACTACCTCGGGTGATTGGGAAGGCTGAGCTACTGGCCCCTGTGTGTCACCTACCACACAAAGCCGCTCCATTAACTCAGGGAAGCAGCCAAAATGCAGAGACACAGAGGCATACCCTGAAAGGGGACAATGGAGGAAAGCAAACTACAGGACAACATGGAGTTCAGAACCACATTTATAAGGTTACTCAAGAACCTTCTAAAAACTGCTGAGAAACTTGATGACACCTTCAAGGACCTTAATAAGAATGGGGGGGGGGAAAAAAAAAGGAAAAGGACCAGACAGAAATTATGAATACATAGTATGAAATAAAGAATTTACAGAAACTCAACTCTAAATCAATGTATCCCAAGAATCAAACCAAAGATCTGAAATATGAGGAAACAAAAAACACCCAACCAGAAAAACAAAAAGAAAAATGGATCCAAAAATAGGAAGATAATGTAAGGAGCCTCTGGACAACTTTAAGCATACCAATATCCGATTTTTTGGAGTTCTAGAAGAAGAGAGAGAGCAAAATATTGAAAACCTAGTAGAAGAAATAATGACAGAAAACTTCCCCCACCTGGTGAAAGAAATAGACTTACAAGGACAGGAAATGCACAGAATCCTAAACAAGAGAAATCCAAAGAGGACCACAACAAGACACATCATAATTAAAATGACAAGGGCAAAAGACAAAGAGAATCTTGAAAGCAGGAAGAGAATAACAGTTAGTTACCTACAAAAGAGTACCCACACGAATATCAGCTGATTTCTCAACAGAAACTATGCAAGCCAGAAGGGAGTGGCAAGAAAGATTCAAAGTGATGAACAGCAAGAACCTACAACCAAGATTGCTCTACCCAGCAAAGCTATCATTCAGAATTGAAGGTCAGACAAAGAGCTTCACAGACAAGAAAAAGCTAAAGCAGTTCATCACCACCAAACCAGGATTACATGAAATGCTGAAGGATATTCTTTAAGAAGAGGAAGAAGAAAAAGGTAAAGATAAAAATCATGAACAACAAAAAGACAACAAATACATACCTACCAACAAGTGAATCTAAAAATTAAGTGAATAAAAAGTCTGAAGAAAAGAATGGACTGGTGAAAATAAGGAAATCATGGACATATAAAGGGAGTGGACTGACAGTTCTCAGGGGGGCAGGGGTCTGAGGGGTTCGGGAAAAGATTGGACAAAAGTCTTAAACCTATGGATGAAGACAGTAGTGGGGGGTAAGGACATGGGGTGGGATGGGGTGGGAAATCGGGTGGAGGGAAGCTATGGGGATAAAAAAAGGAGGAACACCTGTAATAATCTGAACAATAAAGATTTATTTTTTTAAAAAGAATAAATGTACAGTTTTGCTCATAAAAATAGATAATTAACCTTAAATCTGAACATTATTCCATTTATTATACTGCTCATTTCTGACATAATTCCTTTACATGTAGGAAACTCACTATTTATGAGTCTGAATCATATTTCTGTTTTTCACTACCTTTCATGCTTAGTATTATGAAGGTGACTGTAAAGACATGATCCCTTACGAAATGATTATACAGCCAAATGATCTACTTATGTTTGAAAATAGTACACACTAATACCCTGTTTCCCTGAAAATAAGACAGTGTCTTATATTAATTTTTGCTCCCAAAGATGCGCTAGGTCTTATTTTCAGCGGATGTCTTATTTTTCCATGAAGAATACAGTACACATTTATTGTTAAATGAAAATAAAGGAAATTTATTACCTGTATATGGTACAGTAATACGGTAGTTGTCAACGCAAACCAGACAAACTGTGAATCCTACAGTATCAAGAATTTACTCATTTATTCAATGACAATCATGTCATCATCTTCTGGAACATCATCATAACTATCCAATTCCTGAATTTCCTGGTGAATTTCTTGTGACTTCATTTCTTTCAGAATCAGTGGACCAAATCTCTCATGTTTAGCCTAGGGAGGCCTTATTTTCGGGGGGATGCCTTATATTTCACTCAGAAGGAAACCTGTAAGTAGGTCTTATTTTCGGAGGATATCTTATTTTCAGGGAAACACAGTAATAGAGGGCAGATTATCTGCATGGTCCTAACAACACATGATAGATAATGGGAATATTTCCCATGGGCCTGCACTTACCTTTGAACAATTCGAACCTTGCAATCATCCCTGAGATGGTCACTGCAGTGAGCTCTGCTTTCACAGGCTGGGGCATGTGCTCACACACTGCCTCACTCCTGCAAGAAGGAAGAGGAAGATACTGTTTACAGTCAATAAACAAAACCACTATTTTCATGTATAAGATACTTCAATAGAATTATTTAAATCCATTAATTTGAATAATTAGTAGACTTAAATAAATCCACTTTGCCAAATAATTCTTCTTCATAGTTCCTTAATTTTCAAGTCTAATGGAAAGTCCATTTGAACCAGAATTCATTCTAACCCTTTCTCATCTTGTCCAGGAATTTGTAAAGATCCTGAGTCTCTTAGGTCCTTGAGGATCTTCAAGAGGGAAATTCTGGATCCCACTGACATGCTCTCCACCTGGAAATGATGGGGTTCTCTGAAGACTAGTTGGCCTAGTGCACACTCTCAACATAGAGGCTGTGAAATTTTTCCCAAGCAGGGGAATCTGCTTTCTGGTGGAAAAAGGTTCTAAGGGCCTCACATCATTCTCTTAGAGAATTTGTTTCATCTGTTTTTCAGGACTGTCAACTTCTATGAATAGAACAACAAACCACCACGTCTTCCTCTACCCTAGCACCTCAGATTCCACTAGCTCTGTCTCTAAGGTATTGATATTTGACTTTCTCATCCCTCAGAAAACTTAGCATCTTCTCCTTCATATATGTAGGATTTTGAGAACTAAAAAAAGATATTGGGAATGGAGGAGTTTCCTTAATTCAGTTTTTTTTTTTTTTGGGGGGGGGGTGTTCTTTGCAATTTGTCCATAGAAACTGCTGAATGCAATCACTCAGTATTGCAATGAAAAGAAACATGCAGTTGGAGACGGGAAGATAGATACAGGGAAAAATTCAAACAAGATCCCAGTAAGTTCTGCCTTCACTTTAGCATATCCCTGCCTGATGTCTGTAAAAACTGAAAGAGCACCAGCTGGTATCAAGGTACAGACTCACCTGTGCAATATGTCTCCAAAATTCTGTGGAGAAAAATAGAAATGTTTAGTGCTTTTTACCAATGACTCTTCCACTAGGTCCAGTGGGAGATTATTTTATCTTATTTTTTGCTCTTTCTCTTATTTATTTTTTGCTCAGTCCCTCCAGCACCCTGGTGGGAAATTTTGAGATAGTGCCAGAAGTCATTATTTCCTTACTCTGCTATTTACTCCCTCTTGTTTACCATATTGCCCTAAACTCATGTTCTGCTGGACACTGATTCCTGGAGACTTTCCATGGGCAGCTAAAGGGGGGAAGGGGGAAGGCTGGGGAGTCCCTGTGTGCTCCTATAGCCATGATTAAGTATCAGTGTCTTTTCTATTTCTAATTTGGGTGCACCCAAAATGACAGCAATGCAAGTGTAGAACCCCAAATCTCCCCATATTGCCATGCCTATAATTAGCCTCAATATCAATACCACCCCCCCCTACCATTTTGTGCCTTTCACAAAGCCAAAAATATATCATTGACTTTTAGAGGGGGAATCTAACTCAGGATTTTTTTACCATCTCACAGAGTTTTGTTTCTTATGGATAATGTAGGAGGGATCTGGATCTTTATTTTGCGGAGTTCCTTTGAGGAGCAATACCCTCCCAACAAAGTAAAAGAAAACAGGTTTATGGAAATAAATGACATAAAAGAGGAGATGGATTTCTGCTGAAGGAATGCCAGTGCACATGAA